ACACACACACACACACACACACACACACACACACACACACACACACACCACAACACCAGAACTGCTTACACTGTCCCAGCAGCCAGGCGGGGATCTTGATCTCTGAAACTCCTACAACTTTCCCTTCGCTAAACTTCAGTTCAACTTATCCAGGAAGCAGAAAGATTAGAGCCTTAAATGGTCCACGTGACTGATAAGGCTTTTATCTGGGGAAATGAAAGTGTTAAATGCCAACCCTCACCAGTTGTATGGGGAATGACCTTAATCTTCAAACGACACGGATCTGTTCTAGTCTTTTCCTGCACGAAACTTCCTACGTGCATCTTAAAGACTTTATGCATATCAAAGTACACGAAGAAAAAGGCTTGACCAGTCAAGGTTGTTTGCAGCCTTGACTCTTCCTTCCTACGTGTTGTTTACCGCAAAGAATTCAAGTTAATGCAAAAAGGCGCATACAGAAGGCAAGTATCATTACACAGATCCCATTATCCTGTTTCGACTTTCCTCCCAATAAACTGTATTTTCATCCTCAGCTTTGGAAACTTTCAGGTTGCTGAGCTATCTTAGTTCCCGCCTCCTGCTGGGTAGAAAAAAAAAAATCATTTCCCAAGTCACGGCTTTTAAAGGGAAAGCTACACGTGCGCCCCAAAACAAGAATTTATCTTCACGTTCAAGCCTCTGAGCTCTGTGTCCCCCGTGGGCTCTGAGAGCCTATTTATCTGGGATGCCATCTGAAGCATGTCCTGCAAGGAAGCCTGGTCTGCTTTGGTCACGTCTCAAGTTTGCAGGGTAAACAGGTCCCGAACCCCCACCGTAACCGGGATGGCCGAGGAAGACCAGGAACTCACCCAGGCGTGCAGATCCCTGGCGAGCGGATAGCCCCTTCAAGACCCCAGTCCCGGGGAGTACAGGACGGCCGCAGCTAGGGCGGCGGGTCGCTGTAGAGCGGCGCAGTGATTGTCAGCACAAGGTTGCGGGCGGTCTCAGCCAGAGAGCCCGGCGGGAGGCTCTGCCGAGCTCTGCCTCGGAGCTCGTCAGCATCGCAGCTCGGGCTGTCCGGGAGGCAACTTCCACCCGTCGGCCTAGGAGCGTGAGAATGAAAGGAAGTGGAGTGGAGAGGAGCTGGGAGAGGGAGAGGAAGGGGTAGACGGGGTGAGCGGGAGCGCGCAGGGCGGGAGTGCGCGTCCCCGGGCTAGACCGCCGCCGGGTAGAGAAGTTGGAGCGCGATGGCGAGGCCGCGCGCGCCCAGGCTTGCGTGCAGAGCTGCACGGCTTGGGCACCAGAGTGACAGCAGCTAAGACTTCCCGGCCCCCCTTCCAGAGCGGTCCCCGCCGCCGGGACCCGCCCTAACCTCTCCCCGGGCTACGACCGCAAGCCCAAGGCGCCTCTGAGTAGGCTCAGTGTGGCGCGGCGGAGCCCAGGCTGCGTGGTCGTGTTGTCCTGTCCCCTGCGATCGCCGCTCCCGGACGTGCCAAGGGTGTGAGCCTGGAGTCGGGATGACTTGCTGACCCCACTCCCACCCCACCCCCCGCGCCTCTCTCTTCTCCAGTCCCCGGTGGAGTGGCGAGTCCTCAGCCTGAGAGACGGGTACACCTGGCCCGCCCCAAGGGCAGCTCAGTACCTGTGGTGACACCCACGTGACCCTGAGCGCGTCTCTTTCCTTTTGATCCCAACAACAACAACGTACCGTAAAGGGAATATCCCTCCTGGGTATCTGGGCAAGTGGGCTGACTCTGGGTTAGAGGGACCAAGTCCAGTCTGTCACTACACAGGTTCTGGGTTTTTCACTAAAAAGCCGCGCTTACTTAATCTTTTTAACGTTTTGCCAAAATGAGCAGGTCGAAGGCCACATGCGTTACAGCGCAGGGTGGAATTCTGAAGCGGTCGCCTAAAATGGACATTGATCATTGTTTCTGCAACAGCAGTGTTAATTGCTTTCAGTGTCCTGGCTAATAACCTTCAACCCCTATTAGTAAACACCACAGTTACCGACAGGGTTCTATGTACTTAAAAAAAAAAAAAAGAGCGTGTTCTCCACGTCGAAGCCCAGCATATTCAGTAATGCTCTGCTGGCCTTTGGATGAGGATCGGGTGGTGTTGAGTTGCTGTCCAGTTATGGATGTTTGTGGGGACCCAGCTAGGGTCTCACAAAGACCATGTGCATTTATAATGCCACTAGGAGGGCTGCTGGCGAGCATATAATTTAGTTCCGGAATGGTGCAGTTCTCCCTGCACAACCCCGTACTCAGCAATGTCAACAACAACAACAAAGCCATTTCCTCCTATTAAAAAGGGATGGAAGGACCCACTAGCCAGTCTCCTGTCTTCTTGAATCCCACGCCAGCAAGAAAGACACTCACTGCTTGTTCTCCTTTCCATTCAAGGAATCTGCAACAATGGTGAACAGAATTCGTCTCAGGTGCTAACAGTGCACAAGCAATGCATACTTCTGTAGCATGTTGCTTGCTGCATGGCAGGGGCCTAATAAGTCTCACACCGTGAAAGAGAGCTAACCAGGAGGGGAGAAGTGGGGAAGTGACCCGGTTCAATTTCATAAGAAACATGAGGGAAATGATTTCAGGTGAAGTTATCAGAGAGGGCATCCTGGCACTCTGTAAAGGGCTGGAGAGTTTTGAGACATGTTAGGAGCAGAGTTTCTTGTCCTTGTATGTTGAATACAGGCCTGTACAACATGGGGACGGGAGCACTGGAACTCTGTAGAATGAACATATACAATATTAAAAAAAATAAAATAGAGTGCATTTTATGGGCGCGCACAGACCGGCTGAAGTAAATCTGTGCAAGCCTTTGAAACTGTTCCATGGTGTAACTGGCCCCACTCATGGCTATCTTGGGACGTGTGGACTCCAGTTGGACACTTCTGACATATTACGTGGGTTTGAATTACGAATCACTTGTCTGGAAGCAGGATGAAAAATAGATCGCTGTAGCTGAGGCTATGATACAAGGCATTTATTTCCTGACCATGAGCAATTTAGGTGATGACCATGGAAATGGAAAGAATGTTTGTATGCTAGGGAAACACAGCTGGGCTTAGAAAGAAATCAGCTTATGTTATTTTGTACATGAGAGTTCCACAGCTCAGCCAAACTGGAAGGGACAAAACAGGGCTATCTAGATACCAACAGCTGTTGGTGCTGGTGGGGACTTGGGATTGTATTATTTCCTCATTATTTATGATGTTTGACAAAAAAAAAAAAAAAGAAAAAAGAAATCTAATGAATCCTTGCTCTTGAGTAGTCATAACCAATCCTGTGTTATTTTTCAGCTTCAATTATTGGGATGGAGAATTGGTACATAATAAAAGAAATAAGGTGCCCATGAGACAGCTCAGAGGGTAAAGGAGCTCGCTGCCAAGACAGACCACGTGAAGTCAACACCCAGGATTCTTGCGGTGTAAGGAGAGAACTAACTTTTGAAAGTTATCTCTGACCTCTACCTGTGCTAAGGGACACACGTGCGCCCACTCACATAAACACACACACACACACACAAATAATGAATAAAGTGTAAAAAAATGATAAAAGGAAACAATCCAAAGATGTGTGACGATATACATGACATTATTATTAGCAAGTAGAATTTCAACAGAAACAGTGGCTATTCTATTCTCTTGCAATGAATAAGGGTACGTGTTGGCATAGTGTCTACAGAAACCGGGGGCACTGTAGAATGCTGAGAAGCTGTTGGCTTCCCCCCCCCCCCCGGATTTATAGCTCATTTCACTTTATACTGCCTAATTAGTTTGGTTCCTTTATTATTAGCTTTTATGACCACACTATGTGCTGCTACTCATATTATGGTGATGGTGAAGGTGAAGAATGATGTTACTTAATTGAACCACCCTCTATTTAATTCTTCATGTCTGGCACATACATGAAGGGGCGGATTGAACCTCTGAACACCTGCCTAGTGCATGCTTCAGCACCTGCCTTGCTTGCTTCCCATTCTGAGAAAGGTCCCCACAGTGCTAACTTACACACAGCCTGACATAGCTTACGACCAAGGGTGCGCTCTATTAGACAGTTTCTTAGCTCTTTGTTTTCCTGTTGCTGTGACAACGTACCCAACAGGCAACAGGCAAAAGCAACTTTATGAGATACGGTTTACTTGACTCATAGTTCCAGGTTCCAATTCATCAGTGAAGGGAAGTCAAGATGCAGGGTTATGAAACAGCTATTCATTCCACACCCAGAGAGCAGCGAATGAGGGAATTCTCACTGGTGCTCAGCTGGCTCTCTGGATTTCCATCCAATCCATGCAATGGAGGAGCTGCATTCAGGGTGGGGCTTCCCTACTAAGAAGATCTCTCACAGGCAAGCCCAATTCAGAGTCTTCTTTGAGAAATCCCCTCCCAGGTGATTTTGCATTGTGTCAAGGTGACAGTGAAAACTAGCCATCACTGATAGTAACACCAGGCCTTTTCCATGGCTGTTTTAGAAGGGGCCTCTGGGTTTGAACCCAGGCTTTGAATGCTTGACAGCTGCATGCTAATTGCTTTCTTCTCTGCCTGGGGAGGGTCAAAAACACCATCAAATTGAGTTTTACAGGAGGGAGCAGCTGATGCTCGCCCACTGTACTTCCTTGGGAGGCTGTTTCCTCATGGATGGCTGCTTACAGTTGTAAAAGCAACAGTTGGTTCTTGCTTCCTCGCCCCAGTAGCTTCAAAGTCTAGTAACTCAACACAGACAACTTGATTCTTTTTTCTGACTTGACCTAATGAGGTCATACAACTTCTTCATTGTCCCTGATTCTATCATGACAAGCAGGGTCAGTGTGTATGTTTGTGTGTATGTGTGTGTCTGCTTGTCCCTTTCATGGCTTTCCCCGTGGGCCTTTCTTCTTTCTTCCTTCTTCCTTCTTTCTAATGAAAGCACAAGCCACACTTTCCTGACAATTTTTTGTAAATCAAGTCACTGATTATTTTTTTAAACGATTCACTTATTTTTATTTTATGTTCTGCCTTCGAGGGTGAGGGTGTCGTATCCCCTGGAATGGGACTTACAGGCAGTTGTGAGCTGCGATGTGGGTGCTGGGATTTGAACCTGGTTCCTTCTCCGCTCTTAACTGCTGAGCCATCTCTCTAGCCGACCCCCTCAAGTCATGTATCCAGTCAATCTTTTAAACAGAATTATTTCTTTCACTTTTGGTTCATGTGTCTTGCATGTTGTGCCTTTGTGCACGTGTGTACACCATGGATATGCCGGGGCCCAAAAAAGTCAGCGGAGGGCATTGGCATTAGAGTTAAAGTCAATTTCGAACTGCCGTGTCAGTGCTGAGAGCCAAACCTGGGCCCTCTGCAGTAGCAATACAATCCCCTAACCTCTGAGCTGTCTCTTTAGCTCAGATCTTTGGCATTTTTATTTTTGCTAGTAAAATAAACAATTTCTTGCAAAGTATTTTTGAACCATTATAAAAAGCTATAACCAGGATGTAGCAGCTAGTGCTTTAAATCATTTATTTAGTGGAAATATGTAATAAACCTATAAATAATAAATATTAAAACAAAATTATTCCATGGTCCTTTTTTTTCTGACATTCATTACTATCCTTCCTTGTCTTAGTACTACAAATTCTATACAGCGAAATGCAGTACTTCTCAAGACATGGGCCCTGCTTGGCTATATGATGAGTTATTTCCAGCTTATACAGTCTTAACTTTTACACCTCTTGTCTCCCAACTGCCACTCATATTCCTGTGAAAAATACATGCAAGTACTTTTTCTAGAGCTGTTGAAATTGCTTAATGTATTTAATTCTCACCGCTCGAGCATTTAATGCTCACATCCTCAAGCGTTTAAAGTTCAGTACATATATCGGAAATGAGTTTGCACATTTATCTGAATTGAATTTGCATATACTGCTGTAAGGCTCCCAATAGGCTACATGATGCTTGATGTCATGATTTCATTCAATTTCCAGGGCTTTACTTCATTCACAGCCTTGCTGTTCTTTAGCACTGGGTATTTGCTACAGTTGGTATCATCTAGTATCTATCTGTCCGTCCATCCATCCATCCATCCATCCATCCATCCATCTATCTAGATATCATTTATCTATCATCTATCTTTCATTTTCATTATAGGTATAACAAAGACTTTTATAAGTAATATTTATTTATTCTCTGAAATGTCCATACATTTATACAATGTATCTTGATGATGGAGACATTTATTAAAAAAATTACTCTTTTTATTCTTTCAAAGTCACTCCACGTTTTTTGTGTGATCCTAGTTAGTTTATATATTATATTGTTAAAGCATAGAAAAGAGAACCTGTCCTGTCGTGAGTGGAATGATGTATAGGGGAGAAGTCAGTTTGAGATTATGGGGAGAAATTGTAAGGTGCAGTTTCTGTAATGAGATCACCTTAGAGACAAACACTCCTTCCAGAGAGATGGGCAACAATTTTTGGCCTCTTGGGCTTAAAGCATTCTCTGCCACAAACCGGTCTGACTGGTCTGGGGAACAAAGAGCTCACAGCACAGCTGTTTATAATGTAAATTAGCACAATTTAGACAAGGGAGTGCCGACCTGAGCTGCCCTAGGCATCTGGGGGACAAGCCTTATGCCTCAGCCCTGTGCCCATCACTTCTCCAGCCTTTTTGTTACCAGAGTATGAAGGGTGGTCTTTGTTCTGGGAACCAAACCGCACCCCTATGAAGGCTGGGGGGCTTCCTGATGGTCCATAGTGCTTTTCCCAGCATCTGTCTGAAAAGATTGCATGAGCCAAGAAGAGAAACAACCTGTTTC